CTTTCTCTGATGCCATTTAGGAACCACTAGCCCCTGCCCATCTTGCCCCAGAGCAGCAATTTTTTAAAAATAGTTTAATTGTTGTTGCTGTTTTTTAAGAGAAAGAGGAAGGGAGATAAAAAGTATGAGAAATACCAATGTGAAAGGAAACATCAATCAACTGCCTCCTGCACACCCTCTACCAGGGATCAAGCCTGCAACCCAAGCATTGACGAGCAACCTTTCGGGCACAGGATGATGCCCAGCTAACTGAGCCATATGGGCCAGGACTCAGAGCAGCAATTCTCAAGGAAGACTTGGGAGAAAAATGTCAGAATCCACCCTAGGAGCTTCTAAAAAGATATGCCACCACCATCAAGAAACGCAAAGCAAATAAACAACCAAAAACCCAGAATCTTCTAGGGCATAAACAGTAAGGAGAGGAGCTAGAAGTCTAGTTAACTTCCAAACTGTGTGGGCCAGTAACAAGCCCCAGCCACCTTTTTTACTGAGCAACCTTTAGAGAGAAATTGTGTGGATTTAGACCAACATTCTTCAAAAGAAAAATAATGCAAGCCACTTAAGCAATTCAAAATGTTCTAGAAACCACATTCAAAAGGTAAAAAGAAACAGGTGAAATTAATTTTAATAATGCAGCTTATTTAACTGTGGTCATAGATCCTGCCCCCATGTGGACACAAGATGGCCAGCAGGGGAGGGCAGTTAGGAGTGACCAAGCCGGCAGAGGAAGAAAGTTGGGGCGACCAGGCCTGCAGGGAAGAGCAGTTGGGAGGGACCCAGGCCTGCACGGAACAGCAGTTGGGAGGGATCCAGGCCTGCAGGGGAGGGCAGTTATGGGCAAACAGGCTGGGGGGGGGGGGGGGGGGGGGAGCAGTTAGGCATCAATCAGGCTGGCAGGGAGTAGTTAGAGGGTGATCAGGCTGGAAGGCAGAAGTAGTTAGGGGCAATTAGAAAGGCAGGCAGGCGAGCAGTTGGGAGCCAGCAGTCCTGGACTGTGAGAGGGATGTCTGACTGCCTGTTTGGTAGGATCGGGCCTAAACGGGCAATCGGACATACCTCGAGGGGTCCCAGATTGGAGAGGGTTCAGAGTGGGCTGAGGGACACCCCCGACCCCATGCATGATTTCATGCACTGGGCCTCTAGTATTATGTAGGCCTAAGTGACCAAATGACTGGAATGATCTGTTGCTATGATGTGCACTGACCATCAGGGGGCAGATACTCAATGCTGGAGCTTCCCCCTGGTGGTAAGTGTGCTCCCACAGCAGAAGCACCACTCAGCTGACCAACTGGTCCCAGGAGCCCACCAGTCCAGCAGAAGCCACTCACTGCCTCAGTAGTCCTGTAGGTCCAATTTTCTGAGAATGGCCCAGGCACCAGAAGACCAACACCACTGGCACAATCCTGACAGCGCTGTGGGCCTCCTGGAAGTCAACCTCTGGCTCCGTGGCCGCTTCCCCTCCCTAGATACTCCACAAAGAAGAAACAATATAAAAGCAGCTGCCAGGTGGCTTCTGACAACCGGCATGAATGTCAGTGGGCAGATCTGGATCCCAGGCCAGCAAGGGCATCCCACCACCTGCCCGGAGGGCTGATCACATCCCACCACCATCCCAACTCCCTCAGGACCACATCCATGCACAAATTCATGCACTGGGCCTCTAGTGTAACCATAAGGGTCCTTAGAGAGAGAGACAGGAGCATCACACAAAAGCAAACATATCAGGAAGCAGAATTTGGTCATTTGCATTAAAGATGAAGGGTGACCAGATGCCATGGCCACATACATGGCCACCTCTAGAAGCTGGAAACGGCAAGGAAAGAGAGTCTTCCCCCAAAGCCTCCAGAAAGAAAGCAGTCCTGCCAACACCTTGATTTTAGCCCAATGACTACGTTGGACTGCTGACCTCCAGAACTGTAAGATAACAAGCTTATATTAAAGCACCAAGTTTATAGCATTTTGTTACAGCAGCAATAGGACACTAATGTATAATGTGTAGAGTGGTAGTTAGACACACACACCGGCTAGGATGCCTCTCCAAGTACAGTAGTAACTGTACTTACAGTATTAGCAATGGTAACAGCTATTTATGGAGGGCTTACTCACACAGCCTCAAGTATCCTGCTATAAATACTTCACAAGCATTTTTTAAAACATAATTTTCAGTTTGGAATAACTTCAGATTGACTGAAAACTTCCAGAGAGAGTACAGAGTCCCCGCCTACTGTTCACCAGCTTCCTGGGTGCTAACCTCTGACAAAACCATGACACATTTGTCAAAACTAAGAAATTAACATTAACTCAATGACAATTTTTACTGGTTTTCCACCAGCTTCCACAGGAACCCTATCTTCCCAAGAACAGACTGGAGTTAAGTGCATCGAATGCCCATGCGGTGGAGGAGGATGTGGGACTTAGTAACATGCAAGCATCTACTCCTGATCACGACAGTGAGGACTGGTGAGGCTTTGCAGCTGGTTTCCTCTGCTTGAGCATTTTCCAAAGCTCGCTGTGGATGCCCTGTACAGGGAGACGGGAATGGGTGCAGAGCCAGTGCCTCCTCCAGGCAGGCAGCCGCAGCAGGGCCAGGCCAGGGTGGTGGCAGCAGAGGTGTCCAAGCAAGAGAACTGTCCAAGTAGCAGAGAAAGCACTTTCCCCCCCGCCCCCAGAAAAACAAACCAAGAAACTCCTCTCTCAGGGGCTGCCCGACAAGCTCTAAGGCTCCTGAACAAGTGGTGTGTCCTAACCCATCCGTGCATCTTCCATTAGAGAATCAGGATAAGGCCTGAACAGAGGCCTCTTGCTCTGGGGGACTAACCCAAACATAGGCTCTGTCGTGGTGGCAGAATTGCCAGCACTCACCTCTTCAGCCAGAGCCTGCTATTCTGAAACTACATCCTGAGTGACAAGTCTGTTTTCCCTGTTTAGAGCAGCAGGAAGGGCCACGAATGGCCATGAAATCTCAGTGCTCTCAGAAACCCTGCCAGATTCAGAGTGAGAGGCACCGAGAGGCTTCCAGCTCACACTTGAATAATCAGAGTCTCTCCTTTAGTGACCTTGACTGCTTCCCTGTTCATTAGGGGGAGAATGGCAGCTCGTTCATTGGGGTGGCGGACTTTTCCCAAAAAATCCAACTCTGACTTGGTAAAGTGGTGTAGGTATTGGAGAAGCTCAACCACTTCCTTGGGTTAGATATTGAGTCTAAGGGTGTGGTCAGTGTTACTTTAAATTTAAATGGTGGTGGTGCGGGGAGAGAATGGAGGCTTCACCCCAATCATCCTACAGAGCCTGGGAATCAAAGCTGCGGACAGATCTCCGTTGGCAGTGGGACTTCCCAACCAGCCAGTAGAGCTGCTGGGCTTCCAGTCTCCCCTGGCCCAGTGTCAGAGTACCACCGGCCAGGCTTCCACTCCCCACATGAGCCTTGCTGCCGCCCCATCCTGTGGTCTGGACACAGTACAACAGGCCAGGTGTGGAGTCCAGGGGCCTCTAAAGTGAGGAGGGTTGGGTAGGAAGGCAATGAAAGCACCAGTTCCTTATGTAAATCAGCCACAGTCACACTTAGGACAGTTATATTAGGGCAGTCATGAAAGGCCATATAGATCTGAGGTATGAAGGGCTTTGCCTTAAAAGGCTACAGAAGCATGAAACTCTTGAGTGACTGTCCATCCCCCCCACTAGTCATTAGCCCAAATTCTCCTTCCTGACACTCACTGTCTTAATTAGCCGCATGGTGTCTGGATTCTAAATTGAAACTTTAAAATCTGTGTGAAAAGCTGTCTCTCTCTCACTATCAAAAGTATGAAATTATTAACTACCTCCTGTTTTGTATTAGAGGATAATGAACCTTAAAAAGAAAATGCTACAGCCCTAACCTTACCCCACTCAAAGTTGCCAAGAAGCTTCTAACAAGAAAGGAAAGATAAGGAGAGAGGACTGTAAGGAGAAGCCCACCTCTCTGGGCCTCAACCCCAAAGCATTAGGCCTGGAGCAACTCCCCCTTTTCCAAGGAGCCAGAGCACAGCTGATGCCGCACAGTGAGCTCCCAGAGAACTGCAGTCCTCAGCCACAAGCACACAGTGCTCCAGGGCCTGTAAGATGCCCAGCGGGTGGCTTAATCCCCCAGCAGGGTCCAGTAGGGGATATATAAAACTCTTCCAAGACAGTGAGCCTATAAACGGAAAGCATTATCATTTGTAACAGGATTAATAACAACACCGGCTTGAAACGCGTGCGCGCACACACACACACACACACACACACACACACACACACTGGGTTACTTTTCCAACCTCTTCAGGGAGACCATTGGGTCTGATGGAGGATTTTATTTCTTTGTTTTAAAACAAGATAGCATCCTCCACCATGTGACCAGCGGGCTCCCTCTCTGAGGAAATTATTTCTCAAGCATCTGTCCTACCAATGACAGGCTGCCTGAAGACCAGAGGTCAAAACAAAACAAAAAAGGACAGTCAAGAAGAAGGTCCAGAGGAATTTTACAATTCTGATTTTTTTTAAAAAAAGAAAGATCAAAGTCAGCACCTTAAAAAGCTTAGGGGTGGGAACCTGTTCTCTGCCATCTGAATATTTATAACATCTTTCGAAGACCAGACGGAAACATTAGCCTGCTGCATTTGGTGAAGCATTTAACTCACTCACCCCTAATGCCTCGGTAGCGCCAGACCAAATGCTTTCAGGGGCCTCATACAGCCGTGGGCCGGACGTCCCCCACCCTTGACTTAAGCAGTCAACACCCTACATCCTACAGAGTGCAGTGTTTCCAAAGCTGTTTCTGAAACCAAGGGGTGCCAGCTAAAAACGTGGAGCCGCCACAGGGAAGCCCGAGATCTGCCTTTTTAGCGAGCTCCTTCGCTCCCTCATCACCTGAAGTCAACAAACCACTGCGAGTTCCAGCTAGAGCACCTGGGGAGTGGAGCGAGGCCTTCTTCCCCGCCAGCCTAGTTTGGCGGGTGAACTGGGGACTCGGGGACGGGCAGCAGGCTCTGCCCTGCAGAGGCTGGTCTGCGTGGACACAGCTCCCACCCTCGGGCTTGGAGCTGCGCGGAGGGGCGCCTGGGGTGACTCCTCCCTCCCAGGTGGAGAACTCACTTACTACTATGGACAAAGGCCTGAATGGCCGAAGGTGAGCGGAGCCCCATCCACAGCGGCGCAGCGGTTAGCGAGCCCTCGGGCTGCGGTCTTCGGTGAAAATGGCAGAAGCGCAAGCCCCATTTGGCCAATAGGACGTGCCCACCACCCTTTTGCGAAGGTTTCCTGGCCCTTCATGGGCGCCTGTGTGTGTAATACAAAAAAGCTGCTCTCCACTCCCCACCTTCTGATGGAAGAGGCGGCCAACGTTGGACGAGGCAGGATTAGAAAACCACACGTCTTGCAAACGCTCATTTAAAAAAAAAAAATCAAAAGAAATGTCTTCTGGAAATGACTGAGATGGGATTGTCAGACTACCAATCCCTAGGGAGCGGCACGCGACGTCAGGCGGGGCACGCGACGTCAGGCGGGGCACGCAAAGTCAGGAAGGGCACGCGACGTCAAGAAAGGCACGCAACCTCAGGCGGGGCACGCAACGTCAGGGGCCTCGACGTTTGCCCCGGGGTTAGAGGTCATGGAGAAGACCTTGAGGGGGAAGGAGAGAAGGTTCAAGGCCAGACTGTCATATTTAGAAGGCATTTTCACAGTATAACCATTGTTTTATGTGTGCATTTTATTCCTCACTGTTGTATAATAGTTGACAACGCCAAGTACTTTTTAAAAATATCTTTCTACATGTTCTGAAGTGCCTGATAAAAGTAGAGGTAATAAAAAAAGACATTTTAGTCAATATCTTGTTAAAATTTATATCAAATACTGTTATTTTGGGAATGGCCAAATCACCTCTTTGACAGTACACATTTGTGCACTGGTTCAAGGGAGAAGGAAGGGCAAAGAGCAGGAGGCCTGTGGGTTTCAAAATGAGGCAGATTAGCAGAGGCTGGTTTGGCTCAATGGATAGAGCTTCGGCTTAGGGACTGAAAGGTCCTGGGTTCGATTCCGGTCAAGGGCATGTACCTTGGTTGCGGGCATATCCCCAGTAGGGGGTGTGCAAGAGGCAGCTGATTGATGACTCTCTCTCATCGATATTTCTGGCTCTCTATCTCTCTCCCTTCCTCTCTGTACAAAATTAATAAAATATATATATTTTTTTTAAATGAGGCAGATTAACCATTGACCTTTGTGCCCAGGCATTGTGTTTTACTTAGCTGTGTTTATAGTGTGTGTGTGTGTGTGTGTGTGTGTGTGTGTACACACATATATATCAATATATTGGACAAATGAGTCCTAATTTATAACATCTAGTCTTTCTAGATGTTAAAAAGGTTGCCAGTGTATGACAAAAATAGAGTTAGTAAACTAATTTTGTTCAATTCCTAAGAAGGACTGTTCTGAAAACATGGGAAGTAAAACTGTTAAAATCCTCCCTAAGCATTACAGATGCTTACTGTACTGTCCACTCTGTTGATAGAGATGAGAAGGGAAAGGGTTCTAGGCCAGAAAGTTCCTTCCTACTCAGAAGACACTTTCAGATTATAGCCTCTATATGCAGCTTAATCAAACTTAAATCCTTATTTGAGATGGCTAGTCCAGTGGTCAGCAAACTCATTAGTCAACAGAGCGGCATGTGGCTTGCAAGCCACAGTTTGCCGACCACTGGGCTAGTCTTTCTAGATGTTTGAAAGTGCACAACATATGTTAAAGGAGTTAAAGTGACGCCCTTTAAGCATTTTTTTTTTCCCTGTTAATTCATAGGAATGGTAGTATTTGAGGAATGGAGTTGTTAAATTTGATGTCTTGGAGAGTACGCCGACTGTTCACCAGGGAAGGAAGTACAGAAAAAAAGGATTCTGTGCCCATGAATCTTGAGAGAAATTAAATTACCTAACTATCTATAATAATAAAAGTGTAATATACTAATTAGACCAGACATCCTTCCCGACGAAGCTGGGGCTGCGAGGGAAGCCCAGGTCCCGAGTGCCAGCGGCTGGAGGGAAGCCTGGGTCCCAGGTGCCAGAGGGAAGCCAGTGCTGGCAGCTGGGTGAAGGCTTACCCTTGCAGGAATTCCATGCATCAGGCTTCTAGCTGTTACCTTTGTGCATATTAATTAATATCGCTGTGTATGCAAGGATAAACAAGTCTTAACGCCTGAATATATTAAAAGTAGAGGTAGTAAAATAATCCCTTTATAAAAGCCCTCTTGTTTTTAGGAAGGACTATCTCCTGGGAGAGTTTTTGTTAATCCACCTCTTGGAGCCAGGTGGTCCTGTATTTAGTCACTGAAGTGGTGGAGGAGGGAGAAGAGGAAGGGCGAAGGGGAGAGCTCTTTGGTAGTATCTCCCTACCTAGAAGAAAGTTTCAGGTTCTAACTATGGGTCTACATGCATTTTTGTAAAGTTCCTGTGTTTATTGTGGACAAGGTTCTTTATTTTGCAACATTGGAGCTTTTTAGATGTCCTGAGGTGACAATGTCTGATAAAAAGAAAAAAAAAGTAGAGCTAGTAAATTAACCAATTTTTAAATATCTTTTTGTTAGAATTGTTAGAAAAGAGGCATCTTGGACATGGAGTTGTTGGACCATCTTACAACTGGACATCAGGACTTGTTCATGCAAAGGGTGTGTGTGGATATGTTCATATTCTCATTGTGGTGATAACCACTGATGTGCATGTATCTCTTTAGGCTGTGCTATAGGAATATGTTGTTAAGTATGTCAGTCAAAACTTGCCTCCTTGCTAATATTTTAGAAGCATTATACTTTGTGTACTCTTGCTTTGGGTCTCATTTTTAATGGGACATTAAGGGAACACAATATTTTAACTGTGACTTTGTGAATATCTTTTATCTAGATGTCTGCTGTTATTTTTGTCCTTCATAAAATTTTTGTTACCAAGTAAGGCAGAATTACATTTTCTTCCAGATTGAGTTGGTGTAGGGTATTTTTGGTTATCAAAATACACATAGCTTTGGGACTTTGAAATGGTAATATTCATGATGTGTGAGAAAGCATCATACATAACTGTACCATCTTAAATACATAAAAATGGAAGCTTAGTTGTGTAGATACACAGGACTTAGAAGGACATGTCAGACTAAACTGCTTGTGATTATGGATGGCTTTGTTCTTTGCTTGTGTTTTTTAGTTTCCTATATATGCACTTGTTAACTTTAAAAAAAATAAATGTTACTTTAAAAGCCAAAAAGCAAACAAACAAAAACAAATCACTGTCTTGTTTTACTAATGCACAGCTGATACAGAGCTGAAGCCACATGACAAATCATACTCTTTTTGTGCAGCTAAGATAGTCTCAATCATATCTGTATGTAACATGGAGATAAAATGTATTATATTTTACCATGTTCAGCGGCAAAGTCTCTGGCTCCCAAATCTCTCAACAGACAGTTCATTATTTTAAAAAAATCAAAGATACTGATTTTACATTTACTTTTTCTCCCAAGTCTATGAACTTGCAGTGATCTAACACAGCAATTAACAACCTTTTTCATCTCATGGCATACAGACTAATCCCTAAAATTCTGCAGCACACCAAAAAGTATATATTTTTTGCCAACCTGACCAAAAAATAGGTATAATTTTGGTTCTTTCTCACCGGGTGGCTATTGTTGGCTGTTGTCATTTTTTTATTTGACAATCTAAGGGAAAAGAGGTCAGTGCATTGCATGTTTTAAAAATTCTTGTGGCACACTAGTTGAAAAACGCTGGTCTAAAATGTCAGTATCTGGGGACAGAAAGAAAAGCTGTCACCTCAGTGGTGAGCTGGACCACTCTGCTCACAAGATGCTCCAGCAAGACTCATTCACTTGCCTGATCAGCCTGACACCTGTGCGAAATGAAGACCTGCTCCAACCTTGAATCTTTCCAAACCTGGGTCTGAAAAAGCCAGAGGCGCCGAGAATCCAAGTTTACAGAACATGGAGGAGTGGGGTGTACATTTGGCAAGAGCCCAGTTCACAACAACCTCAGGTCTGGACTTCTGGTACTTTCTCCCACTGCAGTCACAGAGCTTCACAGATACAACAAATGGGGTCAAAACAGGAGAAAGCTGTCACGTAGCTTTGAACTGACATCCCAGTGCCAGACCACACCACCTATACTGTGTTTGGTCCCCACACTTTTGTACCTCCTATAATTAACTTATGAAAAGCATGAGTACTCTATGGTTCTTTGTGCTCAGAAACATTCAGTTCTCACATGTAAACATTTACAATCACCTATGGTGTTTCTAAACCCAATACTGTATTCATCTTCTCACTTTTTAAATATATTGAAAGGCTCAGGTTAAGGAAGCAGCCTGAGAGACCGAGGCCAAGGCCTAGGCCAAAGTAGAGCAGCCTGTGAGCGACTCCAGCATGTGTGGTCTCCCAGCTGCCAGAGATGACTACTGGCAACCTCCTGCCCGGATGGCAGGAGAAAGGAGGGGGAGCTTCCAAATTAATGCCTCCTGAACTGGATCTCCATGTCTATGTACTGGCGCCCAGTCGCAGCCACAAACTAGAGGACATTTTACAGAGAGGTGCTCTGCACAGACACCGAGGGGGCCAGGGCTCAGAAAACCATGGCGGAAGTTGATTCAGGGTTTGTATTTTAGTAGGTGAAGCTCTTTGTCCTTCTTTCTCTGCCTCAGTGGCCTCACTATTGCTTCTTTAAGACAGGGGTAGATAAGCTGCCATTCAAACCCTAGGACGTGAGGGAAGGAAACTGAATTACTATGCTCAGCACTCGCCAGGCCCTTCACACAATTCTGACATCCAATAGCCTCTCTGTTGGGGTCACCTGGTTATTGTCTGCCCCATCCCCACAATTCTCAATCCTATTCTGTGCCCTGATCAGCTGACACCTGTGGACCACTCACCTGGGCTCCACTGCCTTCTAGATTCCCATTGGTTAAGCCAACCAGAGGCCCAGTAGGGGGCTGGAGAAAGAAATGTCAGGGTACTTCTCCCCAGCTCACTCTCTCCTTGGATGCCATGTCTTTGGGCACCATTCTTCTTGACTACAGTTCCTGCTGGACGGCCCCTTTCCAGT